TATTATTCGGCAAAATAAATTTATATTAACATAGAAAAACAAATAATCTATTTATATAAGTTTTATTTTTTCCATCCATAGAAAATGGTTGTCTTGTGGATAGAAAAAAAATAGATAAATACATGTCCAGTGGATCGGTCTCATCCAGTCATATGTCTTAAATATATATTAAATATAACTTTACACAAAATATTTTTTTTTATTTTTGTGTAAAGTAAAATATTAAATAAAAAAATATTAATAATATAAATAAAATAAAAAATATTCGGTGTTATTGTGTTCAATAAAAAACCTATCTAATAATTTGATATAAAATTGTAATATTAAAATATAAACAATCTTAAAAAAATGAATGAACCATTTCAAAATGGACGTATTTAACTTTCAAATTGTTTCAAAATATTTTTATTTTGAAGAAGACTTTATTAATGCTGTTCTTGTGTGCAAAAAGTTCATACATTTATTAGAAAGATATCGATACAATCCAATTCCAGTGACTTCCAAACGATTATTTCCATATATGGAAACACAACATATTTACTCAAAAAATGATGTTGAACTCAAAGAGATAAAAAACTTTGTTGTGTGGTATGAAGTTAGTTTCTCACATACAAAACGTTTTGCAGATCTTTCTTACACGTTTAAAAACGTTCGAATTTCCATTGAAGATGTCGAAAGTGAACACATCAACACTTACAATGAACTAACAAAACTCCTACAATCAAATAACGTTAAAAATTTTAACAGTCGGTTTATGACGTCATTTGACGTTCTCGACAGTAAACCAACTCAAATTGTCGTGCCAAAGTTTATAAAAGAACTCGACGAGTCTGCGTTCAGTGAAAATAGTTCACTAAAAAGTGTCATATTATGTGAAGGTTTAAACACAATTTCTCAATATTGTTTCAATGAATGTGACAAACTAACTTCAATCGAATTACCTTCTTCTGTATCGATTATTTGTTGTTGTGCTTTTTTATCTTGTGGATTTGAAAGTTTAACAATACCATCATCTATTTATTCAATTGAATTTGGAGCATTTTCAGACTGTTATAATTTGAAAGAAATTAAACTTTCTGATAATGTTAAAACGATTTCTTTCATCACATTCGAAAATTGTCAAAATCTAACAAAAATTGTACTACCTCAAAAATTGCTTGAAATTCAAGAACAGGCTTTTAACAACTGTAAAAAACTCGAAGATATCAAAATTCCACAAAGTGTGTATATTGTTGGGTCAAACGCCTTTAAAAATTGTTTTAAAATCAAAGAGCTTGTTTTTAACAGGAGTTGTGTTATTGAAAGGGGTGCATTTTCAAAATGTACATCTCTAACTCGGCTTATAGTCCCAACAGTGAATGGCAAAGTTCTCAACAAAATATCAAAAAAGGAGGTCGATGTTTATGAAAAGTTTATGTATGGTTTTGACGTTGATGTTGACAAGTCATCCGATGATGATGACAATGAGGAAAATATAATAGAAAACAATGAAGAAAACAGTGAAGTGAATAATGAAGATAATGAAGAAATTGATAATGTAGAAAGCAGTGATCGTGACTCTCTGACAAACAGTCAAGTTTGTTGTTAATGATTTTGAATAACGTGTCATGATTAAAAATACTATAATTATAGTATTTGAAGTATATAAATAATATTGAAATAAAATTTATAATTAGGACAACACCGACTGTTTTATAGTACCTGATAATGAATTTATACTGAATGCATATTCAATTGATAATTGTGACCAAATTCGTCACATTTATGGCTTGGATGATGTAACTAAACTTGAAAATTGTTGTTTCCAGGATATGAAATCATTGGAAGAAATAATACTTGGAGATAAAACGTTAATCGGAAGTGGCTGTTTTGAAAATTGCACATCGCTCTCATTGTTAAAACTTCCGAATAACAACATGAAAATTTCATTTACACCAACAATTAATGAAACTTCAATCTTGGATAAATTTGGGTACATTTATGATGAAGTCATTTTTGGGTTTGAAGAAGATGACACAATTACTAAATTTGACGATATTGAGAGGTGTAAATATCCAGTTATAATTAATCGTCAATTTTCAAATCATTGCACACAAAAGAAGATCAAAATTCCACCAAACGTCACTACAATTTCAGATGCATTTTTCTATTTAAGTAACTTCGAAGAAATTGATTTGGGAAATGTTTGTAAAGTTGGAGAAGGCTTATTTGGACCAAAATTGCGTTCAGTGACAATTCCAACGACATTAACATCTATTGGTAAAAACATATTTACAAAATGCAACGACTTGAAAAGTGTAAATTTGTGTGGCAAAAAGACTTTTGATGGATTAGTCACTTATTCTCAAATGCAACAATTGAAACGGTTGCACGTGAAATGCACTCATTTGTGTGTATCACTTGATTTACTCGATAACTTTAAAAATGTACAAAACCTAAATATAACAATTGAAAAGCCAAATTTTGTTCAAACAAATTCATTTTTAGAACTTCCGATTAATGTTGTTGGTATTGCAAACAACTGTTTTGAATCATTTTATAACTTGAAAGAAATAGTGTTATCTTCAACACTAAAAACAATTGAAAAAAATTCGTTTAACGATTGTATTTCTCTAGAAAAAGTGATATTACCAGATGGTCTTGAAAGCATAAAAAGTAATGCTTTTAAGTGTTGTGGATTAACAGAAATTGTTATTCCCCAAACAGTTCGATACGTTGGATGGTATGCTTTTAGTGAATGTTACAAACTTAAACATGTGATTTATTCGACATCCACACATCAAGATACAAATATATTCTACAAATGTTATTCACTGTCTTCTGTTGTAATTATTGAAACAAAGAAAAAGAACGTTCATTTAGCAGAAAGTACTTATAACACGTGTTACCGCCTTAGAGAAATTACAATACCAAACAATGTGACGGGTATTGGTATAAATTCCTTTTTTGATTGTAAATCATTGAGTAAAATCTTAATTGGAAAATCAGTTGAAAGACTCGATAAAAGCTGCTTTGAAAATTGCGAAAGTCTGGAACAAATTGAAATACCAAATTCGGTTACTTTAATCGACAATTTTGCGTTCAAAAATTGCAAAAAACTCAAACGAGTTGATTTTGCTTCAAGTGAGTTAAAAATGTCTCCAACTGTTTTTGAAAACACCAAAAATTTGACAGAGATTAATGTTGGTGGTGTAAAGCTTTCAACAATAACATTTCCTGTATCATATAGCGTGTCAAAAACATTTGAAACAAATTTAATGCAATGTGAAAACGTTATTTTTACGAAATGTGATATTGAAAAGTACTTGAAAATGTACAAAGAAAACGGGGAAAATGTTGGAGAAGTCCCAAACGGTGTCGTTGAAATAGAAAAAAACTGTTTTAGAAATTATAAATTGGTTACAATGCTAAAAATGCCAATCAGTTTAAAAATAGTAAATAGTTGCTGCTTTTGTGACTCGGTAACAGTTGATAACGTTATTTTTGCAAATAAAGAATCTGTTGTTATCAATGCATTTGCTTTTGGATTACATTAATATCATATATTAATTGATTTATAAGTTTAATTTTAATTATTGTATGTGGTTATTTTATTGTTTGTAAGCTTAAATCTGGCATATTGGAAACCCTTATTTTTGTCCTAAAAAGCATAACACAATCCACTAAAAAGTTCTGTAATAAAAAATTGTAATTGTCATTTCGAAAAATAATCAATTATCACAACAGGACTTAATAATTGCAGATAATACATGATCGGTTATCTCATCAGCGCGTGTAAATTGATCGTCATTTTCTAGTGTCATTTAAAGAATACAACAAAAAGCAACTTTCAACGTGTGAAGGTGATAATTTGTACAGTTTTGTTCTGAAACAACAGAAAATGCATTTTGTATCAATTCTATGAATACCACACCACCAATTTTATCAAAAAGTGGATTTGTGGTTTTTGTATTAATATGTACACGTTCTCTTTAATGTCGAGTTTCTAAGTTTTTCAATTTAATTTCCAAGTTCCTTGCATTATAAACATTTCCAATTGCTGCAGCACGATATCTGTTAATTGTCTGATGTTTTTAAAGCAAAAACGTATTTTTAGTAAATGATTGTAAAATATAAGAAAAAAGAAAAAAACGAATGCTTATTTCCTAAATTCATTTGTGCCAGATTTAAGCGTTCAAACAATATATAGAAAATGAACTGTTATGAAAAGTTAACCCTTCGAGGACCGAAAAATTTTTATTTTTTTCTTTTTTTTTCAGAAAAAAAATTTTTAAAATAATTTCACTTTTCCAAAAAAAAATGAAAATAATGGCGACTTTTCATGAACAATTTAGAACGATTTTTGACTTATTCGATAAAATAGTTCAACTCAAATTCAAACTTTTGAATTATTTATAAAACATTTCATCATTCATAAACTCAAATTAATTGGTTTTGTTATAGATTCGTTTTTCAATCAATAAAATATATAATTTAACAAATTAATATTAGTAATAAAAATAATACGAAAATAAACTGTTTTTATAAACAAATAAAAATGTTAATAAAAATTATTAAATAATATTATCAGATATTCAAGTTTTTTAAAAAACAAAATAAAAAACACTGAAAAAGTGTGCAAGATTGTGGGTTTGATATAATTAATAAGATTGGTTCAAACCAAAATAAAATAGAAACATAACAAAAATATTGTTGTTGAAATAAAAAATAGATTATACTCAAACTAAAAATACTTAGAGAACCAAATAACATCAAAATATTACGATAAAAACCCACTGCTTACTATTAATTTTATGTGTTATTAAACTAAAACAACAATAACATTAAATTAATTATCTTATATGGTAAAAAAACGCTATAAAACAACAATTTAAGTCGAGAAAAATAGCAGTTTTGGATACATCATACAATGTGTGACAATATACTAATAAATTGTATAGCAATTTTATTTATAAATAAACTATAATTAATCACTTGTGAATAATAAAAACGATAGTAAATTTATTATATATATTATGATTGATTATAACAATAATTATAATAATATTTAAACTAAACCAAATAAACACCAATATGAATATAATTATATTGAGCCAAGCATAAATATCCTTGATTATGCTTATTAGTTTTTCATTTGCAACTTTCTCCTTCTCTTGCCTGTCGTTGATTTTTGGATTGATTTTCCACCAGACAAAACGATGTTTCCGTACAAGTCCTTTCTGGTGTCGACATCGTACTTCATGATGGGGTACCGAGCT